TCCTCGATCAGGCTGGCAGTGGCTGGTAATAACATAAATTGGTTTTATCCTTAACCAGAATGTAAAAATGGGTGCCATGCTGAGTTATTCCTTGAAAAAAAAAGATTTTCAAAAGATTTTAAGGAATTTTGAAAAAAAGAGTATAACTTCGAACGTTGAAACGATAAAATGCACAATGGAATATTTCTACTTGTTGGTTTTGCTTCAATATGATAAATAGTCAACCTTCTGAGAAAATTTCTCAAAGCAAGCAAAGAAACTCGCCACATTTAAGGTAAACAGTTGGACAAGTATAAACTTTAAGATGAGCATCAAGTCTATGACATGAACTGGAAAAGGGTAGAGCTTTGTGGTTTGCTAAGCATACCAAATGCAAGTTTGCTCGCTAGAGCACTGAAATTAGCCACGGGTTAGTACGGTAAAACTTTTCATTAGAAACTAGTTCCTATAAAATCTCTTTCCAGAGATTAGAATACCAAAATCTCTGAAGAAGAGATCTTATCCAATTTTTATCAATAGACCTACATTTGAATTTCCTAAATAAGAGGACTAAAAAGATCTCCATTCAAGAAGATAAAATAAGTGATAAATTACTCACAATTTACATGTAGTAGCCTTTACAAGTCCTTTATGAAACATGCTGTAGCCCCTTATAAGTTCCTTAGCGATTAAAATAACTCTTCACTTTTGAACAGGAACACTCTACATTTCTATGGAAAGAAGTTCTTTGGCAGTGCCAAATGAGACAACAGCGGATAATTCTGTGCATATAGGCTTCAGCTAAAGATTTAACCTAATTTCCCCTTCTGAGAGAACTTAGTTCGAAAAAGGCAAGAGATAGCCTTCGATGAGATTTGCTAATGACAATGAAAAGTTAATGAACGAATATTGAGGTAGTACTCACATGACGAGTACGACGGTCTTCTCAAAGGATTTTCGCGATAAAGGAGTCTTGTAACTAGGCAAGTTAGAGTTTATGCAGACGACACAAACGGATCCGCCCATTATCGACACGAGAAGCAGGACACACTTTGCTGCTGAGTTGTGAACGACAGCAGGTGCATTGCATTCATCGATCTCACCGCTGTCGCGACGTTTCCAAGCACTAGGGTGCTTCTGAAGTGCAACTAATCCAAATAACCATAGCAGTTAGAGTAAATGTTCCGGTATGTCCTTTGAAGCAGATCTACAAAGACTATTCTGTTCAGAATAGGACATGAGCCATCGTTCCCTACCTTTCTGTTGAATTCTTTTTACCTCGAATCTAAACCTTTTTCAAAAATTTCGTGGTTATCACTTTAAATTTGTTTATTTCATTGATTGCATATTTACCATATGAACTTAAAAATGAGGAGAAGACATTAGAACAATTATGTACATATAGTCGGAGACGGAAAAAGTTTGGAAAACCTCTAGTCTTTACAGAAAACCTCCCACTACTTTTTTAAAGGAGGAAATTGAATTTATTATTTATCTG